GCGCCCACCCCGAGCCTGGCCGCGCCCACCACTTGCACCCAGGTTTTCCAGAATGTGGTGCTGTTGGGGTCGTTCCTCTAGGAGTGTTCCTCTTTGCCACGTGCCCTTGCTGGGCTGTTTTGATCGTGTCCAGGTAGGTTCCGGGACAGTGCGTATGTTAAGTTTTCATCTCTCGGGAGAAAGGATTAGAACGCAAGATTGCCTAGCCCCGTCGAGTGATGCGTGTCTGTAACCTGGCCCTCCCCAGGCCGACCTGGGGGCTGGAGGGAAGGGAGATCGAGGCCAGCCCTGGGCTACGAGATCGTTGTAATGTTCATTCTTAACTGTCTCGTGAAACACGATAGGACTGATTTCTAAATGTGCTGACTTCTCTCACACACAGATGCAGAGGTGTTGGGGGGGGAGGGGACGGGTGATTGCTTTTGATTTGAAGAAATCAGAAGCCGATTTCACCAAGGAATGTTTTATTTTTGTGCTTTCCTTGGCAACCCATATGCTAAAATGTTGGGGTTTTCCAAATGAGCCCTCCACGCAATTGATAAATCTGTAAACGGAAGCACAATGATGTGAAAAGAAGTTCCCATCTTTCATTCTGATCCCTTATTAAAGCCTCCAACCATAATCTGAATGGTTCTATAAATAAAAGTTATTTAAAGAGACGAGTTGATGCAATGCTGGCATTTGTCGTCTACATTGTCCGTGGGGGTGTTAAATATAGGCCAGGCCACTGGTTTAGACGGAGCTTCTGCAAACCCTCCCCTCCCCCACCCCCAGATAAATGGGAGTTCAGTGACTTCTGGTTATGTTTAGCCAATAGGAAGCTCTGAAGAGAGACCCATAAGGGAGAGGGCAAGGTGATCTCCTCTCTCTGCTTCTAGCAATGGTTTTAGTCCTTCCTCAGCATTGACTCGTCCCGACTGCCTGCCCTTACACCATGTCTTGCTTTTTGCTTGGTTGGGAGCCCCTTCTTTTCCCAGGCACTTGTGTTTGCCTCACCGTCACACCTTGTCTTTTGGCATTTCCAAATCTTTTCAACTAGTTTCCCATACTAAACACCCTTTCATGAACTAGCTATTCTGCTTTCCTTATTGAGTTTTTGTCCCAATTTCTGTGCGGAGTCACCATTTCAAAAGGGAACAGGAGACTTAAGAAGGAAATGCTGTAAAAGAGAGACCTCTTCCCAAAAGAAGAAAGTTTTCCACTGAGAGTTTAAATTCTCTCCTCATACCTCTGTTCCACAGATGCCCTTTTTTAATGATGCCCCTATCCATAGTTCCAGTGGTTTTATTTGCCTATAAACCCTAGCCTCTGTGGTACAGTTGATTAGAACAGATCATCCCAATCCATGCCACTCACACTCTGTCTCCAAGGAATGTGAAACATATTCCAACATTCTAGTCTCCACTAAGCACATCAACTTGGAAGGTACCTCAACACAGGAGCTGTGAAGCCTGGCCAGCCACTGTCTTACCCTGATACAGGCACAAAAAGCTATCACTGGAAACAAAGCAAAATAACAATGAAACACTCTGAGAACAGCTAACGTTGTTTTACTGAATAAGCTTCTCTGTCCCCAGAGGCAAAGCCCTAGATAAGGCAAATTAAGGCAAAGAGATTTCAAGAAGTCAACTCACATTACAATTTTTCTTTGTTTTCTTTTAATCTTGAGAAATAGATAAAAATTGAAGCCAAACATCTCTCTTCCCCCTCAACACTCAAAATTCCTCCCTCCCTTATCCCTTTCCATTTATTTCACACGTTCACTGACATTCTCTGGGCACTGGGTCTGTCAATTATTAGAAAGGCAACTATAACAAGATTAGTTTCATCATAACACAGAATTGAAAGCCTGATACCAGTTTTTAAATGCAAGCACCTTTATTTTTTCAGTCCTAGGGCTTGAACTGGAGTCCTGGGAACTGACTCTGAGCCTTTTTTTTTTTTTTTCCCTCAACTCTAGCATTCTTCTACTTGACCCACAGCTCTGCTCTACTTCCAGTTTGGGGGATAATTTATTTGAGATAGGCGTCTCATGGACTTTTCTATCCCAGCTAGCTTCAAACTAGAAACTTCATATCTCAGCCTCCAGAGTAACTAGGATTATAGGCAAGAGCCACCAACATCCAGCTTCTTGTTGTTCTTGTTTGTTTTTTTTTTACCAGGCGTGGGGCTTGAACTGTGTGCCTGGTCACTGTCCCTCAGCTTTTCAGCTCAAGGCTAGCACTCTACCACTTGAGCCACAGTGCCACTTCTGGCCTTTTCTGTTTCTGTGGTACTGAAGAATCGAACCCAGGGCTTCATGGATGCAAGGCGAGCACTCTACCACTGAGCCACCTTCCCAGCCTCTTGTTTTGTTTTTTGAGATGTAGTATTACTTTGCATCCAGGTTTGCATCCTTGGATCTCATAATGGCCTTGAATTGGGGATCATCCTAGATCAACTTCCTGAATGCTGGGTTACAGATGTAATTTTAAATATAACAACCCTCAGGTACATTCCATTATTCCAGCCTTTGCTCTCAGTACATAGTCATTTATTATTCCAGCATAAGGACAATTCAAAGTCCCTTCCAGACATTCTTCTAGAGGCAGTGAAGAGATCACTGTTTTTCGGTGCAGTATTTACAACTAATTTACTTCTTCCTTTGAGTCTTAATCTGCCAATTTTGATATTTCATAATCTAGCAACTCTAGACTAAATCAAGTGATTCCCTATCAAAGAAAGGCAAATATAATTTCCATTAAGAACATGGACAAATGGGAAGAAGCCACAAGACACAGAATAAAGCAAAGAAGTGAGCCACTGAGTCCAATGGGCATTATTGAGACAACAAAGACTTCTATTATCAGCTAACCTGAGCGCTCGCCTTGAGCTGAAGAGCTGAGGGACAGCGCCCAGGCCCAGAGTTCAAGCCCCACGACCAACCAAAAAAAAAAAGTATCAGCTAACCTGGCTTGATAATAGTGCCTGCTAGGACAATTTCTATTGACATGAGGACGTTAAGCTGCGCCATCTTATTTGGGGATAGGTGATATGTGTGAGCTTTCTGTTACTACAAGAAAACAGTAGAGATAATCAACTTTAAAAGACTAAAGGTTTATTTTGGCTCTCACTTGGAGAGGCTTCACTATATGGTCACTTGGCACTATTGCTTTTGGGCCTATGATGAGATAGCCCATAATGGTTGGAGTGTTTAATAAGTAGAACAAGTGCAAAGTAGAAAGAGAGAAAAAGAGGGTCCCAATAACTCTCATCTCCTTTTATCTCCCTGGCTTTCTCTATCATCTATCTACCTGTCTCTCTGTATGTATCTATCTGTCATCTACATATCTCTATTTTAAGACACACTCTTACTCTAGACCAGGCTTGCCTGGTACTTTTCATCTTCTGTCTCTGAGTGTTGAGATACTGGCATATACCACCACACCTAGCTGCCTCCCCTCTTAAAGATTCCACTAAGTCCCAGTAAGGACAAACTGGGAACCAAGCCTCTAATCCACATGTCTTTGGAAAATACTTCAAGTTCTATAGCAGTTCTATATATACTTTTGTATATGTGGGGTGTGGATTGGGCCCAGGGTTTACATGTGCTACACATGGACACACTGTACCACTAAGTGCACCCCAATCCTGCAAGTCACATTTTATTAAAAGCATCAGAATCTGGAAATTGCCTGAGGTACTCTACGAAATTAAAACGTGTTTTAAAGAACCACAGGCCTACAATACAGACCTGTCTGCCAGTTTCATTTTAGGGGAACTTCCTCAAAGCCAACACCAAAACCCTTAAGCCAACACCAACCCTTAAGCTATAATTGAAGAATCAAGGCTGGCCAACATCTATGGCGTTTCTTTGTACTAACAACTACTCGAGTATGCATGACATGTAGTGCATCCTGCTAGACACACTTTGTCTCAAGATAGTGTAGATGCAGAAAGGTGGCTGGTCTGGCAGAGATCTCTGCATCTCTATCCTCCAAAGTATCAACATTACATTATCCTCCAACTAAATTCAATCCATGGCAATGTCAATGTTTACCTGGAGGGAGATAGCAAGGCACTCCCACACAGCTTTGGGCAGTCTAGATTCATTTCTTCCTATTCCAAATGCCAAGATCTCACACTTTCTTGGTAAACACTCCAACTGTATGCATAGAAAGGCAGTGAGAACCTGATTTTTGTCCTTCAGTCCAACAAATGATTGGTTTCTTGATTTGGAACTCAGCATTCTTGTTACCAGCTCTTCTTTTCTCTATGCATATCCAGGAAAATATCAATAGAAATATGTAAGTGTCTTGCTGTATTGTAAGGAAGATGCGTAGGAGA